TAGGAGTGTTGGTACCCTACGACCTGAAATCGTATGCGAACTGTGACAAAAACGCCTGTCAAGCAAATCTTGCACTGGTAACATTGAAGCGCATTTTGGGCGGAAACATAGTATTTCCTCCATTCCTCCAAAAGTATAGGTACACTCTGGAACGTATCCAACGTCGAGCCATGAAATCAGTTCGGGGACTCAAATTCAAACCTTTGAAGAGCGCCTCCAATCACTTAACCTATACCCGTTAGAGTAAAGATGTCTTAGAGGTGACCTTCTTATGACTAACAGTACCCTTAACATTTCTGGTCAGCCCCTTAAGCATCTATTTAAGCTATGTCACAATACTAACCTAAGGGGTAACACCCAGAATCTGGAGACCCAACATAGCAGAACGGACTGTAGACACAACTTCTACTCCGTAAGAGTTGTCAAATGGTGGAATTCGCTGCTGAGTGAGCTAGTCCAAGCGACTTTTCAGGTCTCTTTTAAGAGGAAACTAGACTTATTCTTAAGGACTAAAGATAACATTTTATTATGACTTACCAATTTATTTTTTTCCTCTATTATCGTTAATATATTGAGGTTCTTGCCTGGAGGTATTAGTTATCCACTGCTACTAGAAACAGAAATTCGTTAAGCGAAAGCTTCATCTATTCCGTCTACAACCATTTGAACCGTTTTGAATAACATCGAAGTGTTTAAGCCAACTTCTTAGTGACCTTGGAACAACATTTAAGTGGGAACCAGTTCGGTTCGTTTGATACCACTGACGATTGTTCAGTGTTCTATCCATAAACTGCATCACGAAAAGCGAGTATATGGTGACACAATTATTGTCGACCTACTTGGTTTATTAACTAAATAGGAACTAAATATATGAATATACGGTGACATAATTATTGTTCATCTACTCGGCTTATTATTGTCTAAAGTAGATGAGTCCTATACTTTGCTCGAGTGTTTACTCAGTTAATAGAATCCTTTAGAAAATTTCAAGCAGGTTAAAGAACAAATAATTGCATGACCCAATGCTTTAAATGCCAACAAATTCAATAAGGTATTTCCAATTAATACTGGATCACCTCTGACTGATTATTGTGGAAATTAGAAGTGAACTTGTATGGTTTGACAGGTGCTGTGTTCCAAGCAGCTTACAGTATTGATATAGCAGACACGTTAACACATTGTCATGAGAAGTGAATGTAGTACACATTTTTCGAGCGTACACAAAAGACGTCTAGCTGTAATACAGACAAATCAAAATAGTCCAATACTGTATACTCTATATAGTGCTAAACTAGATCGAATCTTGTTTTCAACTGTTTGACCACTCAGCACAACATTTCATATCTCTACCATATCGACAACTACTTCTGAGGATTTGAGAATGATCTCGAAATATGGTTAATTTCGTGTTTCTTCCTGATAACGTTCGAGTGTTGTAAATGTTTCTCTACCAATAGTAACCTTATTTTCATACTGTTTACACGTAAAATAAAAATATACTTAATTGAATGAATGTTTTCTTCAACAAAGAGAAATAAAAGTCATGTAATAGTCTTTTGTGTAAAACTGTAGAATATCAGTAATGGTATTATTATAAGTCAGCTCTGATGATGTAGATAATCCTACTTCTTTGGAATACATATGTTGAATTCCTTCAGTAGGATTTCAGTGGGTTCTGTTATGATAATGATAGATCACATGCTAATTTGGAGACCATTCATCATTGAAAATTAATATCACTGCTGAACTCTAATAAACAACATACTGAGTAGCTAATAGTATTTTTTAAAATTTTTATGACGCGTCGACCGACTTGTTCAGATTGCTAATAACTTTTCTGGCAACTCGCATATCGGTTGTTTACACATCTTTATCGGTCGGACAAATTTATTGCTCAAAAACAACAAGAAAACAACCAAGAAAAATTAGCTTCAATTGAATATATACCAATAAGTGGAGAGTAATCCGCACACCATCTACCATATTTAAACAATATATTTCTTGATTTACTCGTGTATTCCCTTTTAAAATACATCTTATCTTACTGAATTCATTCTTAGTCTACCTTGAAATGCACCAACTGAAAATTGTCAGCAATTATAATGTTCTGTATTATGTAGACAAGGTTCATCAAGTATTTGATGACTGTATTGATTGCACTTGCAATTAGATTGGTGATCCATGTTAGTTTGTCATATTGTTTAACTGACACTAGACTGTTATTTTCATACATTATAAGTTAGTTGTTCATACGAGAGCACTTGAAATGTCAAACAAATAACAATATAAATTGTGCTGTCTTCACTAATATGTATCTCGTGTGAGAAAAATCTTTAACAAGAACAGTTAATATTTATTTCCGGTATTAAAATTACTGGACAGGTGTTGTGCTTTACCTGTTGGGTATACATAGACTGACTCGGTTGAAGTCGACGTGCTACTCAATCATATACATCTATGTAATACTACGAATTGCCAAACGTTTTCTCACAGCAATATCGGGTGCACAACTTATCCACGTAAGTGAAGAAAATAAATTAGAAGCGTAGCTTATCATTCCAGTTCAATAGTTCGTGAGGAACGTGGTCACTCGTTCAATAGTTATCAACATTTATAAATAACACAATAAAGTCAAATTAGTAGCTTAAATGCATAAACCAGTTTTATTTATCTAGAATTATTTTCCATTTTATCTGTGTTTGGCTATAGCACAACATTTCGAAAGGAGTTATCAGACCGCAAAATACCGTAAAATACTAGTGAACATTCAGCTGAAATTACGTGCATCATGTCAACAGTGTTCACACTGAAAATAAAATTCAGTATCCACCACTCTATAACCAGCTTGTCATCTACTGAATCATGGGATCCACCAGCTTATTCAATGAGTATAATATTCACCACTATATTTAAGGGTTTTGCATTTGCTTATTGGTTGTTTACTATCGACATACAGGCTTATTGAGCAGATGCCTTGATACTCTTTTCATTCAAGGTTTATCAGTTATCGATCAGTAACCAGTAGTAAAACCCGGAAGATGTAGATTTTTGTGGTGAATAATGCCAGTTTCGAGTTTCAGCGTGAATATTAACATTACAATATATATTCACGTAGGAGGGCAAAACGATTGCCAGGAATTTCATTTTTAATCACTAATAGTAATTTGATAAATTAATAATAATCAATTTGTCCATTGAATGTGTTCTCTATTTAAACATCTTACATTCTTTCACTTTCAAATGAAAGTAAATAATATCATAAATATCCTAGTTGTGAATAAGAAAGGACAAAAGTCCTCCTGTGACAATCACAGAGGGATCAGTTTGACTAATATAGTGTCTAAAATATTAGCTTCAATAATACTAGGTCGCCTAACCAAAGCTCGTGAAGAGCAGACTAGAGAAAACCAGGCTGGTTTTCGACCTGGACGTGGTTGCATAGACCAGATATTCACCCTACGTCAGGTTCTAGAACATAGACACAAATTCAGACGTCCCACAATAGTAGTATTTCTTGACCTTAAGGCGGCATTTGACTCTGTTGATCGTGAGGTTCTATGGCAATGTTTGTCACTGAAAGGAGTACCAAAGAAGTACATTAACCTCATAAAGGCTCTCTACTCGAACACAACTGGTCGAGTTAGAGCCTATGGCGAACTGTCATCAGAACTGATTACCACAAGTGGAGTTCGTCAGGGCTGTCCACTCTCCCCATTCTTGTTTAACTTTGTCATTGACATACTTTTAGAGACAGCACTTTCATCAGCTAAGCCTCCAGGAGTTGAACTCTTACCGGGAGGCTCACTTGTTGACTTAGAATACGCCGACGACATAGTTTTACTCGGTGAAGACGCTGACAAAATGCAGAGTCTTCTGACCACCATAAGCAACAATGCAGGCATGTTCGGGATGCGATTCTCTCCCTCGAAGTGCAAAATGTTACTTCAGGATTGGGTTGCAGCGACACCTGAACTAATGATAGGGAGTGAAGTAGTTGAGCGTGTAGACCACTTCACTTATCTTGGGAGTCTCATCAGCCCTTGTGGTCTGGTGTTTGACGAAATCTCAGCACGGATACAGAAGGCTCGTCTAGCTTTTGCCAACTTGCATCATTTGTGGCGTAGGCGAGATATCCGTCTAGCAACCAAAGGACGGGTTTACTGTGCAGCAGTTCGTTCCGTCCTACTTTATGGAAGTGAAACATGGCCGGTAAGAGTAGAGGATATTCGTAGGCTACTAGTGTTCGATCATAGGTGTCTTCGAAGCATTGCTCGTATATCCTGGGACCACCGGGTAAGTAATGCAGTTGTTAGGAAACGAGTACTAGGTAGGGATGGCAAATCGATTGATGAAGTAGTGAAACTTCATCAGTTGAGATGGCTGGGACATGTGTTACGTATGCCCGACCACCGACTGCCCCGACGTGCAATGTTTCATGGTGTAGGAGTAGGTTGGAAGAAAGCTAGGGGTGGCCAGACCAAAACGTGGCACAAATCAATGAAGTCACTGACAAGTGGACTGGGCCATGTTGGTAGGTGTAGACTACCTGGTTGGGATTCGCGAGATGATAGCAACCGATGGTTAGAGACCTTGAATGACATGGCTCAAAATCGTTTGCAATGGCGAAGATGCATCCACTCTTTGTGTTCTACCAAATTCTAATCTTCTGAATTTCTCATGTCTTTATGTTTTTCTCCTTCCAAATATATTTCACTGTACTATACTCCTTCAATAACATCTTCAAACTCTAATCTTTCCGATTACTGCTTATACTCTTACTAATTCTTCCACTATGGGATTTGAATCGACAACTGCATCTGTGTGCTAATGTGGTATGGCAACTCGAACTGATGTACGTACGTACGAAGTTCTACGTTGTGACTGACTGACTGACTGACTAGTTGTGAATCATCGTCAAAACACTCAATATTTATTTCTAATCTTAGTAAGTTACTGTTGCATGTACTTTCAATTTGTTTCAGCACAGCTCATTACAAAAAATGACCGACCTCACCAGTTTCAAGTCAGTAATTGAATATGGTTGTACGATGAGTGCAGACAAACTTCATCAGTATATATGTGATCATTCACTACGTCTGTCTGAAGCACAAAAATGGTTATTACAAGTAATCACATCACAATTATTGTCTTCCAAAAATGTATTGTAGGAGACTAGTAAACATCCAATGTCAAGAATGCTTATCTCCAGTATAGAAATGCAACTTCTATCGAATTTGTGTTATGGGATAAATGCTAGAAAGACACTTGATATTGGTAAGTACGAGATGAATGTGGATTTGTTTACAAGTATATATATATATATCCATCCTATGTACCTCATTGATTGTCGAATAAGTTCTCAGTTTTGATGAAGTAAGTGAAATACACAAGTATTACTAACTCATCTTTAATCAATCATTCTAATTAACTATATAGATAGGTATATATAAGTAGCAATCGGATAAACAGAATGTGGGTATGATGCCTAACTTTGTTTCATGGTTCTCAGCAACTCGGAATTCAGTCAGTCAGTCAGCTACAACGTAGGGCCAGGCACATTTATGCATCGGTCCAAGTTGCCATACCTCATTAGCACAACAAGATGAACACCGGATTCATAGAAGTAATTAATTTAGTGGTGGTAGTATATAAAAGATAGGTTGTATATAAGTATATAGTATACGAAGGGAGAAAGTTATAAAGCAATTTTAATCTTAAGGTTCAAAAGGAGATAAAGAGTGTATACACCTACGCCATTGTGATCGATTCTGAGCCACGTCACCCAGAGTCTCTAACCATTGGTTACGATAGTCACGCGGACCCCAACCAAGTAGTCTGCATCTACCAACATAGCTTAGACTAGTAGTTAGTGACTTCAAGCACTGATGCCACGTTTTGGTTTGGTCACTCCTAACTCTCTTCCAACCATTACCAATACTAGTCAGCATAGCGCGTCGTGGTAATCGGTTTCCAAGCATACGTAATGCGTGGCCCAACCATCTCAGTCGATGAAGATTGATGGCCTCATCAACTGATTTACCATCATTCCCTAATACCCTGTGTCTGACCTCACTCACTATTACTTTCCCGATGATCCCAGCAGATGCGAGAAATATTTCTAAGACATCTGTGGTCAAATACTAGTAACTTGAGAGTATCTTCTACTCTTAATGGTCATGTTTTAAAGCCGGAATTAAACAGCCTTAAATAAATCAGACTGTTACTTGGAGAAAATTACTCCTTATCTCTACTGTTTGAAGACGATTATTGATGTTGGGTGCTCTATCCCATCATCCGTCCTACTCCACTGAGTATTATATATCGGATTGGTTGTGGTATTTGTGCATGTCCAAATCATATATTGAGTGAGAGATTTGGAAAGAAGGAGAGTTGGACAAGCAGAAAGATACAGTCATTCACTAATGACTGTTGATCAGTGTCTATTGGGATAGAGACGAATGACTGAGAGAATTACACTGAAATAAGTACATTAATATCATATATCAACAAAACATCCGTAGTTAGATTGCATATTGGTATTTAAATGGAAACTGGAACACTGGTTTCATATGATTTGAAACTCGTCAGATGGATGCACATCCATGGTTTTATTGGAATTCACATGAGAATTCGAAGTCAGTAACTCTCGTTTCCAGTACCAACACGTGTTGCACTGATGCACTGAATCCGAATAGTCAGTAGATTGTTTAACGGTTTTGAATTTCATTTGTAATAGTTTACATTTACCCGTAGTTTATGTTGAGCGATGTAATTGATCAGTCAGGTTTTGAAATATTCTGATCAGATTGGATCGATATTATAATTTAGTCACCTATTCTAAGCAGATTTGGACGATGACTGGTAGCGGAATCCGAGATGTCCTATTCAATCGATGGAGAGAAATGATTGTTCAGGTCAAAGTGTGGGAAATCGGACATTGTATTGTTTACAGAAATAAATAATAAGTATATTCTCAAAGTGTAACGAATAGCTGAGTAGTGAATGAATCCGTCTCTACATAAACACATACTATTGTGTACTGAAGGTGAATGTGGAAGTATTCAGATGAATCGAATGTTCAAACAACTACTCCTTGTCCATTCGAATACTATATAACTAGTTTATTCTTGAAACTGTAAACTCTTCTTCCAAATCACATCCCTGTTGATTATGTATATTGTAGATGAAGTGAGTACAATTCTTACTGATGATATTTAATTATGTCTGGAATTCCTGACGTTTACAAACTTTTCGGTTATTTGACTCAGTAATAATTGGTTTCACATATATTTGTTAAGTTAATGACCGTTTCATTAAACAACAGTGTGATGTAGAGGTATTTGGAAGATGTTATTGTGGTAATTTAACTGTTTTGTGATTGATCAATGAACTTCATTTAAACGACTAGTCATTATCAACAAATATGTTTCCATTTATTTTAAAATGAATATAGGAGTTTATACTGGATATAGTTCGTTGTCTATCGCTGAAGTATTGCCACCAGATGGACGTGTATTAGCCTTGGATATTACAGATGAATATTTGAAAGAGTATTGTTTGCCAGCATGGAAGATGGCAGGTGTAGAATCGAAAATTGACTTTCGACACGGTCCAGCTATTCAAACACTACGTAAGTCTCACAATGTGTTATGGTATATTGTTATCAAGGAAACAAAACACGGATGTACACAAATTGTTTGAGCATAAGAAATCTATGATGATAAGTATTTAATCATCACTTTACTGATGTGTTCTCTGGTGTCATTTTCGTCCAAATGTGAAGGATTAGATTCATACTATATGTTAACCGAGTTTATGTAAGACAGTACGGGACTCGTCTTCAGTGCGCATTCACGACTACACACGTGGGACTCAAACCTGAACATCCAGTTTCGTGTATCAACGCTTAACTTCTAGACCACTGAGCCAACATCCAACGATGTTAATGTCTAACTTCGAGCAATCCACGGAATTGCGCGACTACCTTCCATCGCAGTGAGGTAGATAACTGTCTCTACCTGACATGAATTAGCTCCACTGGTCACGGCTTCCTATTTGAACTCTGACAATTCCCTCACGAATCTTGTCACTAGTGAGCACATGGTAATTATCAGTATGAATATTTATGTTATTTTGCTGTTTCAGTTAATGGTTGATCATATTCAGTTGAGACAAGTGGTTAGAATTGTTGAATGTAATTGTCGTTATCCAGAAAATCAGTCATATTTATCAAATAGGATAAGGAGTTAAGATTTACCTGATAATTATCAGTTATTATGAGAGAGCAAATTGTACTCCATCTCACCAATTAATATTCTTTATATTTGTCCACGTATGTTGAAGCGCTGCTGTTGGTCTTTCTTTGTAGTGATTAAGACCTATTTGTAAGATTCTTGTGCCATTGAAAGCAGTTGTATAGTCCAACTCTATTGAGTGTAATGCTATCATTGATTTGTTTGTGAGCGTTTTCATATAATTTGAGGAATAATGAATGTGTTCCTTCACCCTCACATACAGTTGTCGTCATGTTTCACCTACACATGTAGTATCACAATCATCAAATGTATATGTATCTTGACAAGTTGTTGGTATGTTCGGAGATTGGTTTGAACACTAGGATGCTGTAAGTAGATGGATGGTACGTCTAAAATGAGCGATAGAGGTTTACTTCTAGTTACTGAGAATGATTTTACTGATGATGCTGAACGAATATATTGATTCGGTTAGTATTCGATAACAGTTGAATGTATGTAATCACGATCAGTTTGATGACAGGATTGTCGTAAACTATTTATTGATTTAGTAACTGAATTATTTATATTTTCATTATACTATTGTTCCATCAGAGAATTTGATTGATAATGGAGAGAGTGAAACATTCGATTTTGCCATGATTGATGCTGATAAAGAAAACTATAGTAATTATTACAAATTATGTTTAAAACTAGTTCGACCCCGTGGAATCATCGCCATTGACAATGTAAGTTTGTTTAATTAACGAGCATATGTTTTATGTATCTCAATCAATGTGAAGTCACCTTTCATGATGAGTCGGTATTTTAATGGCTAATAATGAATCTTCTGTTTGAAATTATCTCACCCTTGAAAATGCTTCTAGATTAGATACATTCTCCAGGAAACATTTCATATATTCAATGAAATGTGAAGCAGTATTATAATGATAAACTACTGTAGTTTTACACCTTTGGCTGAATGATAGCCCTATATATTTCAAACCAAACTGCATATCTTGGATTCACTGATTGGAAGTTATTGATTAGAAGGAATTTCAAGTTGGCCTCTTGTAATAGTCCTAACCAACCATTACTGATTTGTGCCTTCAAACGATTCTTGTTATTTGAATGATCACAGTTTAACCGTTGATAATAATCTGACATAGAATATTGATTATCTTATAGATTCTAATCACAGTGTCTGCACCATTCTACATGACACTTATAAACAATCTACTTCCTAGTGAACTGATGAGTTGTCTTATTTCTGTTGCTCCTACATTTCACTCATCCTAATTCACCATCTCTCTGTTCCAGTGCCTAGAATGTAAGAATAGAGAAGAAAGAATTTCGTAGAATTCATCATTCGGACTTCAGTCCGCGGTAGTATGAGGAGTGGTGTTTATCAGTCTTCTGATTTCACTTTCAATTAGTCTAAATTCACATTTTGACAAGTGAATTGCATAATACAGAAAATGATCCACTATGCTTATCCGTAGCTCTTTCCAATCCCTTAGTTCATGTGCTGGAGATCAGCTATCTGGGATATTTTCACATCTCGTTTCAAACTTCATAATGCAAACAAAACACTTGAGAGCTTGATACTGAAATTTCAGATTTTATGAATTTGGTTGTGGATCGCTAAAAACTATATTTCCGGTTTATTAAGACTTGTGAGAACAAGGGTTATGTAAGTTGATCCGACATATTGAATGAAACAAATCAACAGATCAAGGAACCTTCTGTTTTTCGATTAATGCTATTGGTAATGTGATAGATAATAGACATTCTGGTGTGTGAATATTACACATGCTTACAGTATCACCAAATCGTACTAAATAATTGTATATTATACCATTTTAATTTTAACTTCTTTCCCAGGTTCTATGGAGCCACCGTGTGCTCGACCCGAATGATAACTGTCCTCAAACTGTTGGCATAAGAGAAATGAATGAATTGATAGCTGAAGATAAGAGTATACGAGTTTCTCTCTTAAGAACTGGAGATGGATTGACAATTGTTGTGAAGAAATGATCCTGGTTATGATTGTTTTCAGAATGTATACATCCTTACAGACATAAACACGTTTGATTGATAAACCGAATTGCTTTGATTTCTTTCTCACATAAATATTTCCCATTACTAAGCTGTCATTATGTGTTGAGCACTTACTGAATAAGATGTATTTCATTACATTGTAACATCAATGAAATTGTAGAAATTTGATTGAATCACATATCTCATAGACAACGTGCATGTTAATATCATATGATTAGTATCTTATTTCGATCATGAATATAAGATGACAGTGAGAAACACAATCTTGTTCACATGATTGTTCTGTTTTGAACTTTTTTAACCTTCAGAGTGTTTACCATAGGTCATGACCATTTGAGCATAGATTCAATGTGATTATGAAACTGTGACATAACGATTGATCGACTGATCGTTGGTAGTTTCATAGTTTCTGTTAGTGGGTAGTTCTATATTCCTACACAATCTGTGTGAAATGGGATTACCACAAATATGAGTGTATAATTTCTGTGGTATATTTTAGCTACGCATATGTTATACACAAGAATGGATTTTACATTAGGCTATCATAATAATAGTCTGAACATTACTTACGTGTTGCTTTTAATCAATCCTGATGTTTGTGAGAATAGACAAATCCAAGTTATCTATGAAGCACATAAAATCAACTGTATTTGAATCAGAAGGGGCTTTTGTGGAGATTTTAGTAAATTTATAATTGAAATCATTAGTCAATTGAAGCTAGACCACAATAGAAAACCTGGAAGCACTGGACGGCCGTTTCGTCTGGGACTGCTCAGCAGTGCGCATCCACGATCCCGTCTCGCGAGATTCGAACGCAGGACCTATCAGTCCTTGAACTGTAGACCACTGAGCCGGCCGACATCCAACGGTGTAATTGTCTAACTTCAACCGATCCACAAAGTTGAGCAACCGTCCATCATTGTCTTCAGTGAGTTGATATCTCACAGCAAACCTGATTGACCTCCAGTGAAGATGTAACTGAATTCAGAGAATTCTTTTGTGCTACTATAGATTTGATGCAGACAATGCTTATGAATAAGTCCCAGTGATGATGGAAATTGATTAATATGTGCGATCACCAGATTCACAACTGTTACTTTAGTGTCCATCTCTTCACTTATCTGGTTGACCGTAAACACTAACTCAATTGTCATAACTGAGAATTTAGGAGGAAAGATTTCGAAACTGATATTCAAAGGAATAAAGCGAGAAGTGACAGCTAATACTCAGTGCAAACAGGAAAAACATGCGAACAATTAAAGTTGATCAGACAGATTGATAGTTTTGTTGAAATGACGAACGAATCTATGATAGACAATAATTGAAAACATGGAAGCGGTGGACGACGGTTTCAATCTAATATGAAATTCGTAATCAGTATGCATCGATGACAAAAAAATCAGTGGTCGAACCCAGAACACACAATCTCACTCAACTCCCAGATTAATGAATCGGAATCCACTGGAGTGTTCAAGTATAGCTTGTTAGTACTTTATCAACGAATAAAGTATGTTACAGAAACTGTACAATAAAATACTAGTTACTGATGAATAATATAATTCGTAAATATGCACGTCACAATGACGGATGTGGGTGTGCTTCACGATGCTGATTCATTCACTGAAATTATCGGTATAAGAAAAAAATGAGTGATCCGTTAGCTGGAGATAATCGTGTACGAATTTCTTAAAAACTTCAGATGCATTGACAATTTATGTGCTGAACTCACATAAAAATGAATGGTAGTTTAATTAGCGCGATCTTTCAATAATATTTACCACATATAGATTGTTGTAATGAAATATTACTGTACTGAATCGTGTCGAACTACACGATTCGGAACAACAATATAATGAGTAAACGAAATGCAAAATAATCTTCAACAAAACACGTATCATTACTTCGAACAGTTCTCGACCTAAACTTCAACTATTCCTCAAACAGTACAATGCAGAAATTTCATTAACTATTGATAATGCTGAGAATAGCGTATAGATGTTTTTAAAAGTTTCAGAGTGTTCTCAGAAATGGCTGACCTCTATTTTCATCCTTGACTCGTGATTAAATCTGTGTGATTTTGTGTTTTGCAATGAACTGGAATTCAACATGTGATATAGAAAGCATAAATATTGATGAGATTAGTCTTATTAACAGACTTACAGTACGTTTTATGGAATGTAATTCAATCACTAACATACGAGCTATCAGTTTAGCTAAGCAAGGCTTTTCCTTGATTTCCTAGTCAGTTTGAGTATCACTTTGAATCACTGCTAGGTTATGTCAATTTCAAATATAGTCTAGTTGAATAGAATCTTAACACAACATTAAGTGACTCACTATATCGTAAAGTCGATTCATAAGCAAAAGAATAATGGGAAACGATAACCAGCAAAATATGCTATGGTTGGGATTTTATCTATCTTACAAACTGGCAATCTACCGAAAAAGTTAGAAAGGTAGTGGGTTTTTATCTTCTGTGTTGAAATGGGTCTGAGAGCTATTGGATCTCCATGAGATTACAAACTGACCGAAGTTTGATAGACATTGAAAATCTGCAAACAATGACCAGCCGTTTCGACTCAGCATGAAACGCCTCACCACTACTTATCCACAATCTCACCATCTGGAACCAGACCAAAACGAATCACATCACATTCAACATAACACTTTTACCGGAAATGAGCATGGCATCGGAATGTAGGAGAATTCGTTCGAGCTATTTAACCCATTCATACTTGATATACAAATGACAGACAGATATTAACAGTCAGCAATATAATGTACGAAAATTCTGATTTACCGTCACATGTTGAGAGTGAAAACAATGAATGGATGAATTCAATTTCTTGTCTATCGTGGTAGGATTATTGATCAAGTCAATTCTCAATAGCATTCCGATCAGCTCGTCTTAAAGTTTTGTGTTGAAACTCACTAGATTCTTGTGTTTGTGAAAATGGTCTCTGATAGTGGAAAGTTTCTCTGCTGCTAAATGTGACCTGCATATTTTCGACGGGATTCAACAGTGAAGTCATCCATCCTTCATTATCTTCGAATGAATACAGAAATGTAATAAACCATACTCAGTGATGACAATAAAATCGGATTACATACTGAGTTGGATACAGCATATGGCTGAGCTAATTGATGACCATTACAAATACATAGAAAGCTTCATCGTTTTTCACACTCATCATTCTCTTGACATGTCGATTATTGGAGTACTTTCGGTGATATCAATTCACTCAAGTTGCATATGCAATGAACAGAAATAGAGAAACTTCAGTTTAAGAGTAGTGTTGTATGGGATAAACAAATGAATCCTTAACAACAATCTCTGACTGTCCTCTGTATAGTAATCCTCAAGAATAAGAAAGGCATGTTTGTTCATATTCACCGTTCTACTTAAGCATAATTTTTATCTTTACTTTAAAATTGTCGTAACTTCACTGAACTCAACAACAATCTTCAAGGAACTTATTCATTCCCAAATTCATAACACAATAAAATATACCTGTTAAGACAAACATTCATCAGGAATGTCATAGACATTCTAACGAAAAGAAGAATACTCAAAGAATAGGGATCTGCAAACTCATGAAATAAAATGTTAAAATTAAAATGAAATACCATCAGTGAGGTTATGTTAACATGTGAAATCGGTTAGGAGTAATACGTGAAAGTAGAAGGAGATATGAAAGATGCTGAGGTCTATGGAATCTCATAGATTGAAACAATGCTTGTGTAAGGAACTGAATGAGTATCTTCGGTGAAAATAATTTTAAATTATCCGAATGCGTGAAAAAAAGTTTTGACAATGTTAAGAAAACGAAAGGTCACTGTCTTCCTTTACCAATTAACGATGAATATCTTTGTATTTGACATTATTCAAATTATCCAAAATGGTTATATTTAAGCGTTTGTTGTCTACCATAGGTACTTACTTACGCCTGATACCCCTCGTCGAGGAGCATAGGCCGCTCACCAGCATTCTACATCCAACTCTGTCCTGAGCCTTCCTTTCCAGTTCTTTCTGGTTAACATTCGTCCTCTTCATATCTGCTTCTATTTCCCGGCATAGTGTGTTCTTTGGCCTTCCTCTCTTCCGCTTCCCTTCCGGATTCTAAGTTAGGGATTGAGTAGTGATGCACATTAGTGATTTCCTTAATGTATACCCGATCCAATTTCAACGTCTTCTCCTAATTTCCTCTTCAACTGGAAGCTGGTTTGTCCTCTCCCATAAAACGCTGTTGCTAATAGTATCCGGCCAATGGATGTTGAGTATTTTGCGTAAACAACTGTTTATAAATACTTGTACCTTCCTGATGATGGTCGTAGTAGTTCTCCACGTTTCAGCTCCATACAGTAGGACTGTCTTGACGTTCGTATTAAAGATTCTGACCTTGAAATTGGTTGAGAGTTATTTTGAGTTCCATATGCTCTTCATTTGTAGAAATGCTGCACTTGCTTTGCCAATTCTCGCCTTTACATCTGCATCCGATCCTCCTTGTTTATCAATGATGCTTCCTAGGTACGTGAATGTTTCCACCTTTTCCAGAGTTTCGCCATCAAGTGTGATTGGGTTGATTGGTGTTCTCCGTGTTGCATTTGAGAATCTTGCTTTTCCCTTTGTGAATGTGGAGGCCTATCGATGCAGAGGCTGCTGCTACATTTGCTGACTTCATTTGCATTTGTTCGTGTGTATGGTCTACCGTAGGTAGAGTGGTGTTTAAGCTACTTGTAATTCCCAAAGTCGATTTTATTAAGATAGTCTGTTCAATTAGAAAATTTTAGCTCATGCGTTTAACAACTTCTTAATCAGGTATTAAAACTGTGAACTGACTGTTCATGTCAATACTGAAATAATAAAATTTTTAAGAAAACAACAGATAAGAATTACCTGGAGGTGTTCATCATTTTAACCACATTATTTCATAGTGAAACTGAATTTCATACATATCAGAATTTCAGGAATGTGT